ATTTGTTTACTGTTTTGATACGAGTTCGGTGGTCGAGTCTTTTCTAGCAATTTGAAATGGTGGTGGATTGAAGTGGATGGTTGTGACAAGAGGTGGACAATGGTATCATTAAAGAACAAGGATTTGCATTTTTCTTGGGTTCGATCATAGGTCCATCATGTAAACTAATAATAATATTAAGAGTAGTTAAATTTTTAATACATAATTTTTAAATTGAAAAATAAAAATAAAATTTTAACATAAAAATCTAGATGGACATGTCAATATCTACTATAATAAATGAAGGTTTTTCTACCACATGTCTTCTTCTCATTTATTTGGACACATGGCATTTTCTAGAATTTTTAAATTTTCTATTTTCCACTTGTTATTTTATTATATTTTTCATTTTATTAAATTAAAATTTCACATTTAATATGTAAGGTAATATATATCTAAAGTATTTATTAGAAATGGTTTATATATGTAATGTATTCAATACATTAAAGTCTCATTAATTTTAATAATTCAAAAATTTTCTTATTTTTCTTATAAATTCAAATTATTCAAATTATTAAAAAAAAAAAATTTAATTAAACTCATGTAATACATGGGTCTCACACCTAGTATATACTATTTCCCGTTAACCAAAACACCATGCGGCATACCATGTATACAGGTCAACGAATTGACCCCTTCAATCTTATGAAAGTAACTTTTTATATAGTTTTTATAAATTTAAGGAGATAAAATACATAAAAAATGACGAAATAAAACCAAATTAAAAAGTTTGAGGGCGAATAATAACATTAATCCTTCAAAATATATAATATCTTTTATCCACGGAATACTTTTATAGATTGTCGGTATACTTGTGATATCATGACATAATAAAACCAAATAAATAAGACCCATTTTCTTTTGGTCAAAATTAAAATATGTTTTCATGATGATGAATCATGGTACATGTACTGAAAGAAAAGGTACAAATCTACAGTGCAGTACGTGCATATCAACAGTTTCTCGTACGAGACTGGTCTTTGTGGCCCATATTGTACGTCAAATTTAGGCCCATTTTCTTTTTAATATCTTCCTCTTTGCATTTCAGTAGAGATTTTTTTTTTTGTTTTTTTTAACAGAAAATCTAATTTGTTTTTAATTTTGTTGAGGAAAAATACTTAATAGGGTAATGTTTGATTTTTTAATTTATACATATTTAGCAATAGTTGTAGATTGATCTTCTGACTTATGCCCTAATCAGTCAGATTTAACCTCGATTTCGTCTTTCATGATCGAGCATACAATTGATTCTTCAGTTATACAAGGAATTTCAATTGATCCGGACCCTAATCGACTTAGGCTTGTTTTGATGGTTGCTTTTTCATTGATGAATCTGGTGATAAGTGTCATGATAAGTGTCAGTGGTGTTACTCTATTATTATTTCATGGGGCTTATGGTGGCTGGATAATGAAGATGATGGCCTTTGTAGGGTTCTGTTGGTGATTCTCGGTGACAAGATAGAGAAGACAATAATAGGAGGATTTGAGCTTCAAATATGATATGTAAACGATATCAATTTAATTACATAATTATACTCTTATATTTTTTGGTATTTAATTAATGAATTAATCAATTTACTATAATGCTCTTATTTGTTGATTGGTTTAAAATTAGTCATACATTGACAAAATAACAATTTGGAACAAAATAAAATTTTTAAAATATTAAATTCATGTATATAAATTAATTTATATTCTTTAAACTAAACACCAATATTAATTAATTTACATCTATAGTATAAACATGAAATATAAACGTAAGTTATAAACATAAATAGTTTGTTTAAAAATGGAAATTTTTTATTATTTAATAACTAACAATAAAATCAAAATAATTATTTTCACATAAAAAACTATTAGTCAAGAAAACTATTTATCAACGTCATTTTGCACGGACACACATCTAGTGTGTGTGTGTTTGTGCATATATATATATATATATATATATATATATATATATATATATATATATATATATATATATATATATATGTTTATGTGACACGGTATAATTTTATGAAACCGTGAAACCAACTTTTTTTAGTAAAATACTCTAATATTCTAATGTTCATAAAGTTAAATATGTGTAATATTCTAATACTCTAAAACAATAATTTTAACATATTTTACATTGAAATATTATAAAACATATAATGTTAAAATATATTGCATATTCTATTTTTACGAACAATACAATATTATAATATTTCAATAAAAAAAAAAATTTAGTCTTACGGTCTAACAAAATTATGTTCGTCTCAAATGAACTTATATATATATATATATATATATATATATATATATATATGGAGTGGTTCAAATGAGAACCACAAAAGATTAAGAACTCTAAGAACCCTCATTATTTAGTAAATATTTACATGATATTCTTATTAAACATATGAAAATCTTTTTTTTTCTCTTTTGATACAAAAAGGGCAAAATGGTAATTTTTGCAATATAATATTTTCATTCATATATGCTATCATATTTGAACATAAAACTTATATAAATTACAAGTTTATACAGTCCATTTAAAGTTTAATTCACAAAATTCACTACTTAATACAAACCATTTTACAATAATTCACAAACTCAAAGAAATCAAAAATTCAAACTCTACTACTACCACCACCACACACTGCCACTAACCACCTATACCAGCATTGCAACCATCATTTTCTTCTAAATCAGATCTGTAAATAAAGTCATGCATTAATAACTTAAATATTACATTCAATGTCTAATAAAATCATTTATTTCATTCATTTTGAATTTAATGCTACACTATTATTAAAGTTAATGTATTCTTACATACTTATACAGCATAAAAAATAAATATATTCATAAGAAAATTAACAAAAAAAATTATATATAAATAATTCATATTTTAAATTGTGAACTTAATATATTAAGTCGTGAATAAAATTTACATTATTTCAAAAGCAAACGAAATAATCACAACTTAATGTCAATTCATTCACAACTTAATGCAATCAATTCATAATTTAATACATAAAATTTACAGCTTAATATGGTCAATTCATAGTCTATAAGAAAATTCACAGTTTAATGAAGTCAATTCACAGTTTAAAATACAAAAAGTGTAGTTTAATATAGTCAATTCTTAGTCTAAGAAGAAAATTCACTATTTAATACAGTCAATTCAAAGTTTAAAACACAAAAAATCATTGTTTAGTACATAAAATTTAAAGTTTAATACACAAAAAAGTAAGCATCTACAACCATATTTTCAACTTAACACTCTTTACATAGTCAATTCAAAATTTATACACAAAAGTCATAACTTAACTTAATACAAGTAACTTCATAGCTTCATACACATAATTCACAGCTTAATCTAATTAATTTACAGTTCAAACAGAAAATTCACAACTTAATGTAGTCAATTCATAGCTTAAAAAGAAAATGCAATCAATTCACAGTTTAAAATACAAAAATTCAGCTTAGTACACTAAATTCACATTTTAATACACAAAAACTAGTATTCACATCCATATTATCAACTTAAAACACTTATTAAAATTAATACACAATTTAATATAGAAAATTCACAAAGTATTATAATAAATTCAAAGTTTAATTCAGAAAAATTATATATTCACAACTTAATAGCAATTAAAACTAAGATTAACAAAATTATACGATAAATGAGATATTAAAACATCAAATTCACACTTTAAAAGAAAAAACAAACAAAAAAACTATATCATAGAGATCTACAACAGATGCAAGTAGAAAAACAAATAGAAAACAAAACTTACAAGAGATTTATCTATAAAAATCGACATACCTGATTTTTTTTTTTTTTTTTTTTGAAGATTTATCTTCAAAAATCAGATATGATTCAAGCCAACATGAAATGCACCAAATACACCTGATCCATACATGAAATGCATTGTACACATGAGATTTGATGAAGATCTGGTGTTAGGTAGTAGATTTGGCGTTCGAAACTTAGTTAATCTTGAGATCTGGTGTGCCGACCAGATCTAATCTAAATTAAAAATGCACAAACACATCAGATCCGGTGATATCCGATGCAAATCCGATGAGATTTGATCCAGATCTATTGGTTCACAAGAAATCAGAGAGAAAATGATGGATATGGTTGTAGATCTGGTGGAGTGATGGTGGAGGATGAAGAAGATGATGTCGGAGGAGGAGGTATATCTTCGGAGTTGATGCAGCTGTAAATCTTATCTCGCCAGTCATCGGTGGTTGCGGCTACCGGCAAAAATCATATCTAAAGGTGGAGGAGGACGAAGCTAGCGATGTATCTGGTGGTTCAATGAGGTGGATCTCGGGTAGAAATCACACATCTGGATGACAGCGACGGTGCAAACTTAGATTCCAGCGAGGTGGACATCGGCAGCGGCGACGACGGCGGCTGGAGGTTCCTGCCACCGATGGAATGAGGGAGAGAATTGATGGGTTGATTTTTTGAGAAGTATGAAAGAAAGAATCAGATCTAGTTTTTAGATCTAGTTTGCAACATTTGATAAATGGTTAGTGAAACTAGACTCAAATGTGTTGTTATTTACTATAATGACACTATTTTATTTTAACAAGGTAAAATTTGAAGTTCTTACGGTTCTTATTTTTTTATGGTTCTCATTTGAATATATATATATATATATATATATATATATATATATATATATATATATATATATATATATATGTATCTAGGTTCATTTGTTTAAACTAAGTATTGTGTTATCGTATGCATAAATGTGGGTCAATCAAAATTAAATAAAAAATTAAATAATTAAATAAATAAATAAATAAGGGTAATTTAGTAATTTGTTTAGTAACTTCCAAAATTAATCCCTATAATCATAGTATTGACCTAATCTCTCCAATTTAAATAATCGACTATAAAACCGACTATCACCGGCGTTTTCTTTCTTTTCTTTCTGGCCCGATCAGCAACCACACGAATGAGGAAGGCAAAGAAGATCGTTGATCTCCAAGGGGGTGTTTTAGGTGGTTTAATTGACTGGATCGGATGGAGAGGTGGGTGAAGCGAGGGCAGCAAGGGTTGATTAGCAACTCTCCGCTTACTCTCTTCTGATTCTAACAATGAGGGGTGAGACCAGAAGAGGGTCCGACGACAGGTGGGGATTCAACTAAATTTTGGGAATTAGGGTTTTCAGAAATTTGGATTGACAAAAATATGCAGCCAGAAATTTCAAAAGCAGCCGCTATACAAAATATAACGAGGGTTCCTGGAAAGAGAGGTAGGAATGAGATTCCGCATGAGATAATTGAGGTTAGTCAGGATGAACTGGTGAAGAATCAACCACAAGAAGACCAATTCAAATCAACTGGAATAGCTTTTGGGTCATCATATCAGGTAATTGGTTATATTTTCTTGGTCTCATAGTAAGAACTAAGAACCCTGTTTCAATTTGTAAGATTGAAAATGTTTTTGAAGTTCTAGAATTGTACTTATAGTCTCTTATTCTATATTATTTTTCAACCGGCTTCTTCAGGGAAGGGGAAGCCAACGAAGCTACACAAGAGGAAACATCATATTGGATCTTTATACTTTGATATGAGATCTAAAGAGATGGAATTGGCAGAAAGGCGCTCAAAAGGCTTTCTCACAAAAGCAAAAACACAAGCCAAGTATGGATGGTAATAAAATCATAATTTTTTTGTATGTTGCATGTTAATGTTGTGTCAATTTTTCTTCTACAAATGAAAAGCGTTGCAAAGATTTTTGCTTTGTTTTCTCAGAGCTTGTCAATGTTTCTAAAATGGAATCATGAATTCCAATTTTGTTGGAATGGAATCATGAATTCCAATTCTGTTGGAATCTAAACTAAAATTTGGTTTTGTTTTGACAGAAGTTGATGCTTGAAGAACGGACCGCAAATGTGAAAGTGATTCTAAGCATTCTTAGAACATGATTTGATTTATGACAGTTATTTTCATTAAATGTATAATTTCATGGATGATCAAGGAAATAGTTATTCTTCTGATAGAATAATCTACAATAGAATGATAGGAATATATGTAATAATATATTTTGCTAGAATATTAAGGTCGAATAATGTACATAATTTTATTTGTTATTAGTGAGTATTTCATTGTCATAGACTATTATATAAAGTTTTTAGTTTTGTAAGAATGTAATGAAAATTCTAAAGTTGTATCCAAAAATGTGTTTATTAGTCGGTGTTGGCATTCGCATAGAATATCATTCTAATAGAAACATGTATCCTGAAATTTGTAGAGAATCTGATTCTAACAGAATAAAAACAGGTTTAATTATAAAAATTATGTTATAATTAAAATTATAGTAATTCAAAAATTAGAATTTTAAAATCAAGAGAGTTAATTATCCCCAAAAATATGGAATTTTCCTTTTTTAAATTTATCTCAATTGTCTAAAATACCCTTAGAATGAAATTAGATAGTATTTTTCAATTATCTTTAATTTAATAATATATATTAATCACTTTCTTAAATTAAGTAAAATGATTGGCTCACATTTATGCATACAATAACATAATAATTAGTGTAAATAGAATAACGTAAGCCTATATATATATATATATATATATATATATATATATATATATATATAGATCCTACGGTGCAGTCCGGTTTTATACAGTTTGAAAATTTTAAAACCGCAAGTCAAACGTTCTTTGCAGTTTCGAAAGTTTGAACCCGCATGTCAAACCGTAAAAAAAATACAAACTGTGAAACCAAATCGATGCCCGGTTAGGTCGGTTTCGAACCGAACCATGAACACCCTTTTGTCTAGTGATTACTTTGTTACGACCCTCATACGTTATGTCTTGACTTTGACTATTTAAAATGTTAAAATATCTCTTGACTTTGACTATTTAAAACATGCTTAACCATTGGAGACATGTTTGTAACTTGTTTTCCTAAAAAAATGTTTTATAAAATAACATAGAGTTTTACTGTAAAAAGGCTATTATAAATAGCACATACGAGAATGTTTAATATAATTCGTGACGAAAAATTATTATAGGTCAGATAAATAATAATAAGCATTTGAAAAACATTCGTGACGAAAATTTATTATGTCAGACAAACAATAATAAGCATTTGAAACTATGTCAAACAAACAATAATAAGCATTTGAAACACATCACGAATGAGTTCGGTATAAAACTTAAATGGTGTTTTTAGTGTTAGAGATGGATAAAATGTGCATTATAATTTTTTATAGTGAAGTGATTAAGTTTAAAAAAATTAAAAAGAACAAGTTAAATTTGAAGTGATAACGGTTTTGATAAACATGTAACACATGATATAATACATAATTCTAACAAACTCGAAAACCCTTCAAATACGAATTTTTGTTGATCGTGAACATTTGATGTTTGTTAAGGTTTGGTCATACACATAGCAAGCACTTGTATGATCTGGGTTTTTGTTTATCACAAACATAGGGTTTTGAGGAATACACGGATTCATGAACCCAAAAAAAAAACCCAAAGCAAGAAACAAGAAAGCTTTGATTATCAAAATCTTGGGGTTTCGAAAGCTTCGACTTGCAAAAACATATGCAAAAGCATTAACGTAATGTGAACCTAGAGATCGATGGGTGTTGTTGATCCCATCTTCATCTTCATGGGATATGGGTTTTGACGAACATGGGGTTCAAAAAATTCGATTTGCAGAAATTGTGATCCAAAAAACCCCTAAAGGTATTTGTTAGTGTGTGTCTGTTTGAAAAACATGGCTTCTTGAGTTTCAAATGATGAAACATTGTTGAAGGAGAAGACCAACATCAGTTAAAGGAAAACAGAAAGTGTTTTAAAACAAACATGCCGTTGTTAATAATGAAATATTATATGACCTAGTGCCTTAATGACATTTTCCCTTTAAAGCTTAAAAACATTACCAATCAGAAGATTATATTTCATATAATATCTCATTATTGCTAAATTACATAATATTCTTAAGATCAGTGTTCTAAAAAGCACGATATTGCGCGCAATGGCATGAGGAGCAGCTTTATCATTAAGAAAATCCTCATAACATTGATGTTAGGCGTGATATGGCGCGTTATAACGCGTGTTTTTTTTCATTTGAGACATGATTTTTTGTTCTTTGTTAATTTTTTATTATTATTTATTGATCTAATACTTCTAAAAAATAATTATATTTAATATACATTTATATTTATATGCTAATATAATTTAAAGTTAATACAAAATCACTTACATGGCATCTTGAAAAATATCATGGATCGCCTTGCTTAAGATCCAATCATTTTAATTTTGCAAAAAATTAATAGCTTATCTGCAAAATTGTTTACATTTGCGGCTAACCCTCAAGTCCTCGGATCTATACTCAGTTTTCTGTACGTAAATGTACGCAATGTGAAAAAAGAAAAGATTTTTTGCAGATTTTTACCAAAAAAACCAATATTAAGTTATGCCCTAAACTAGATCATATAAAGCAAACGATACTGTTCTTCATCAACTATTTCAATATCAACCATTCAACTTCAGTAATAAGAATCGAGCACTTAAGTTGAAGATACCGATCTACCAATTCTATAGCAACGAGAAATTGAAACCGTAATCAAACAAGACAGCTAACTATCAAAGCTGTTTAATTTATGTAGTGATAACATAACAAATGATTACTATTTTGAAGTGTCTTTAATCAAAATGAGATTCCATGCAAGCAAAATCAATATAATAACGATGCATATAGTTCAATTTTAATTTCAACAAAACAGAGTGATAATCCATGATTCATGAACCCCTAATCTGATAATCAAAATTGGCATTAACAACTGAAAAACAAACCTAAGCAGTAAGAAGAACAGCACCACCAGCCTCCTTAATTTTCTTTTCAGCGGTCTTGGAAATGAGCTTCGCCTTCACCACCATCGGATGGGACGGCGGAACCATTCCCTTTCCCAACACTTTAAAGTAACCAAATTGAGAAACGTCGACAATCGGGACGTTATCGGCTGAAGCCTTCTCTTTTGTATCTTGTGGCACCATGGACCAGAGCTTGTCGACATTAACGATTGGACAATGGAACTTGTTGCGGAGGCGATGGAAGTATCTCATACCGACTTTACCGAAGTAACCGGGATGGTACTTGTCGAAGAGGATACGGTGGTGGTGCATTCCTCCGGCGTTACCACGACCTCCAGGATGCTTTCGGTGTTTCCCGATACGACCGTGCCCGGCGCTCACGTGGCCGCGCTTCTTACGATTCTTCCTCAATCTCGTTGTCATTGTTCCTGTATAATAACCAACAGTTTCGTATCGCAAGTTCAGTGGAGTAGATCTAATAGGAAATTACAACATATTAAACAAAGACGAACGGCGATTATACATACCTTAATCGCAAACTCCGATCAGAAACTGCGGCAGAGATTGGGAATAGAGTTTGGAAACTCCACTGAAATAGAATGTAAACCCTAATTTCGTTTTATAAAAGAGGCTGAAAATTAGACCTTCTGTATGGATCATGGGCTGGATTGAATGTGGGCCTTTCTTTACCAGAACCAATTAAGAGGCTGTATCTATCTATAAGTTTATACATCTATCAATCTATGTCTCTTATTATAACAAAAAATGGAACCCGGTTGAAAAATAAGACCAAAGAAATTGAAGTTCCATGAAATGACCAAGCATTTTTTTAGAGACGGTCTCTCAGGAAAAAAAAAATTGGCTCTACGGAAGATTATACGATCTGAGAAAATGGCGTGGCAGGGGTAAAATCGTTAAAACACATAAATAAAATATCAAAAAAAAATCATTGCGGATTGGGAAAGCCTTTGTTGCAGAAAAAGAGTTCGTTGGCTATAGAAGAAAAACAGACGATCAATCGAACGAGTAATTTGAAGTGTTTTTTGGCAAAATTCATAAAAAACAAATATTTTCAGCAAAGATCAATTCTTCAAATGGTAGAACAAATCCAAAGTTTCTCTACGGAAATGTGGTATTTTTTTTTTTTTTTAATCTGTAAAATAGTTTTTCAATTTCTAGATCAATTAATGTTTTTTCAATTCCGCAGAGAAAGACACATTTCCGCAGAAGACGTACCAATTCCGTAGAGACCGTCTCTGCGGAACCTTCACTTCATAATTCAATTTTTATCTTTTTGCACATGTGTTCAATTCCTCTTTGAGAAGTTTTGAGTTCTGCATAACCAAAAAGATTAGAGATCCTCTTTGAGGAAAACTTTGTCGTTCTGTGAAACTTCAATTTCCTTGGTCATGTTTTTCAAACACACCCAATTTTCTGATTATTTCATGAATTTTCCCAATAACTTAATTGTATCTACAAGTTTGTTTGAAAAAATAAATGTCTATTATGATTTTAGGACCGTAAACAAATCAAATGTTTAAAAATCTATTTGTGAACTCTTTGGTGAGAATTTCTTTTTTTTAATAATTGAAAGAACAAAGAACGTAAATTCTCATTCATTTAGTTAAATGAATGAACATAAACAATAGTTTTGTCTGTTCATTTATGTTTGTTCGTTTAAATTTATCTATATGCATATGTTCAATTATTTTTTTTATTACATTAATATATTATATATTCGTTTAAGTTTATTTATGTTCATATATGTCCAATTGTTTTTTATTATATTACTATATTATATGTTCGTTTATGTTCAATTGTATTTGTTTATCTTCATTTGTTTATGTTTGCTTATGTTCAATTAGCATATTCACGAACCTAAACAAACGTTCATGAACAAGTTAATTTGTTAAATGAATGAACATGAACAAAAAAACCTTGTACGTTTATTCGTTCATGTCCATTCATTCGATTGACTAACTTAAATGGACGAACATAAACAAGTAATTGTTCGTATTCGTTTGGTTCTTTTACAACCACTTTAACAAATACATTTTACAATATTTATCAATGTTAACAATATTAGTTATTTATCACGCGAAAAAGGTTATGGGGAAAAAAAGACACATAGATCAAAGGTTGATTTTTTGGTTTCGTTAATTAAGTCGTTCCATCCAAATTAAGTACATTTGAAAAATGGAAAATATTAAGCATACATATTTTATTGTATTCTTATAAGCGTGTTTGTCATAGAGCGTTTGAGAGAGTTTGGGAATTTCTAGGTTCTAGTTTTTTGACAAAACGTTATAGTTTGAACAAAAAACTTCTCTTGGCAGTACGAGTCTTTAGCTTTTAGTTTAAACAAAACGTTATAGTCTAAAAGCTACTTCATGTAGCATTTAGGCTATGTTTTGCGGACTAACTGAAAAGCTAACTATTAGCTGAAAAGCTAGTTGATGGCTGAAAAGTTAGGTGTTAAATAAAAAGTTAGCTGGTAGCTGAAAAACTAGCTGATAAAAAAGTACGTTTGATAAAACTAGCTGAAAATTATAAAATTACATAAAAGGACATGTAAGAGTATGTGTTTCTATAACTAATTAAGGGGTGTTTTTGGAAAAATTAAAAAAAAAAAAAAACACTCCTAAAAAGCTAGTATAAGTAGTTTTTCAAAAAGTTAGCTTATAAGCTACTTTTTGGCTTACCAAACACGAAAACATAAAAAAGCTCGAAAAATAAGTTAGCTTATCAGCTAACTGTGGCGCACCAAATACAGTCTTAACATAATATTGCTGAGCTTTTTAAATTGATTTCCATAATTGTCCTTAAAAATAACTTTATATATTTATCTTTTGTTAACAGTTTTCATTTTACATAATTTTACATATTTCAAAACATTCCAACTACTTTTTTCAAACACTCATATAACAAATAAAAGTTACAGCTTCCAGCTACCAACTACCCGCTATCAGTTATCAGCTACTTACTACCTAATAAGTTATTTTTGTCAAACACCCTATATGCCATAATAACACCTCAATAATCTTCAAAGAAATTACCCTTTGGAGACGTTGGTTTCTCATGAAGTTTGCTTTAAACGGGTCACCATGGTTTCAGTGGCAATATCCATCTTCTAATAAAAAATAGTAAATTATATTTTCAAACACTTTGTGTTCATGAAATACAAACATGAACAAACAACCTAAAACTATATTTCATAACCGAATCACTAATCTAATCAACGAATATATCAATCCCAATAAAACTATAAGTTTAATGCAATATAGTTATTTCATACCTAATGTAAGATGCAAAAATACATAATGGTGGAATCAGACTGACAAAAGAAATCCTCTATAAAGTGTAGCCATCATTAACGCAAGAGCACATGAAAGGGGTCAATTTCGGGAAAACTTCGTCAAGCATCGTTCTTGATTTCTCTGATTTTCTCCAAGATTCCAGAGATTTAATTTAATTTTTTGAGATCAAACGAAAGAATATTAGCTTATTAGAAGCAGGTGATAGCAATCCACACCGATGAGTAAAAACCGATTGGAGTTAGCAAACATGTCCACCTTCAACAAAACCCAAACAAAAATCTTGAAAACGCACTCCTGTTTGTAAAGAGTTACAAGAAAGACACAAAATCACGAATATGGTCAGCCGTTGAACGATCCATTGACCTAACGAAAAATCGAGGATTGAAGCAACATAAAGGAATCCGGCCAAAACCCTCTTATCAATGTGAGCAAAAATGGATCAGACGGATGTTATCAATAATAAAATATTTTGCAACATAATTTTACTTTTATTTATAATGTTATCAATAATAAAATATTTTGCTACATATTTTATAAATAGCATTTTTTTTTTTTGTTTTGAGTTGGTGGTCACAGTTTTTCTAGCATTAGTCCATATATATATATATATATAATATATATATATATATATATATATATATATATATATATATATTATATATATATATATATATATATATATATATATATATATATATATATATATATATATATATATATTTTGAGCTAGTCAAGCTTTCAAATCAAGCTGTAATCGTTTGGTAATCAAACAAAAGTTTTACATATATAGCACTCAATACTAGTAAAAATAGTTCATTGCTATTATCTGCAGTGAAGAAAACACAGTAAATGGTCAACCAGTTTCCTGTTCAAACTCATCTCCTTCAGACTCTTCTGCATTATCAGCATCATCATCATCTGCATCATTGTCAAAGTCTTCTTTGTCATTCTCAACCGATGTTTTCCCAATCACAATAAGGTTGCTATTTATCTTCCTGATCTCGTTATACTGCAAAAAATGCATCATAGATATAAATACCAGTTATAATGATACCAAAACAAAGACAATGAATGAAAGGGGGGCAGAAGTTAAGAGCTTAAACAGAATTCTTGCCAATCAACTTATTAGTCGTTTTTCTCTGAATCAGAGAACATATTACTTTAGCATCTGAAGTAAACCAATTTCTAAACAGTTTGGCATGATCATCATGTTTCAATATAAACTCAGAAGCAACGATTAATCAAATTTTGAGTAGGATCATTTACATAAAGTCCTTAATGTACTTGAAATATTAACATATGATTCTGACTGAAACTAAACTCAATTATTAAGGATCGGGATTCAACGATGTATAATTAGATGCTAAAACCAAACCTTTGTTGACATTACGATCACAGCGTCATTAATTTGTGTAAGTACATCAGATCAGATAGTGTACTACGAAAACAAAGATGTGATATAGACAAGCACAAAAATAGGAGATTCAAGAACTACACGTTACTGAACCATGGATCTGAAGTTCAATTTTGCATTCAACGTTAGTTTACAATACACAGCTAGGTTTTTGCATATGAAATCGAATCAACGTTATACAGTCAGGTGAGAATATCTTCGGAATGAAAATAAAGAGCAACTGAAATCATGTCAAATGTCAATTTTTTAAGAAATTCAACACGGATATTTGAATACAGCAGCGAATTTCACCAATTACACACTAAGGCAGTTGAGACAAATATACACGGACCTTTTCTTCAAAATCAGACTCTTCGATAGCAAGAAGAAGCTCCTCGCTGTGCGGTTGAGGCCACTGCGGAGGTAGAAGAAGCGACGCCGGAATGATCCTCGTCGACGTCGGGTACTGCGTCATGAACGCCGGAAACTGCAACATCTGTCAGATGGGTTTGGTCTCACTTTCAAGTTTCAACGAAGCCCGCTCCATCTCCGTTTAAAAGGAACGTAAATACTGAATGAATGGTAGGGTTGTCAACCGGCGAACCATTCGTGAACTGTTTGGCGGGAAGTTCGTTTATTTAATAAATGAACGAAAATGAACAAAAATTATCGTTCGTTTAGTTAAATAAACGAACATGAACAATGATCCTGTTTGTTCATTTATGTTCGTGAACGTTCGGTTATGATGTTCGTTTACATTTATTTATGTTCGTTCGTTTAAGTTTATTTATATTCATCTATATTCAATTATTTTTTATTATATTGTTATATTATATGTTCGTTTATGTTCATATATGTTGAATTGTGTCTTTTTTATCTTTGTTCGTTTATGTTTGTTCGTTTATGTTCGTTTAGCATGTTCACGAACATAAATGAACGAACATGAACAAAGTAATTTGTTAAACGAACGAACATGAACAAGAAAATCTCGTTCGTTTGTCCGTTCGTGTTCGTTTGTTGTTCGGCTAACTTAAACGAACGAACATGAACAAGACATTGTTTGTGTTTGTTTGGTTCGTTTACAGCCCTACTGAATGGTGGATCGTTTTAACGTGGTCCGAGAACGATCCGCTAGCTTTTTAAAATGGTTATTCAGGTACAATCAAACAATTTTTTTATTGAGTAAATAACACTAGGAAAACTGATTTATATGGGTGATTATGTTTCAAAATTGTTTAAAAAATATCATTTAAGTTTGGTGTATCAAAAAAACACCATCTAAGTAAAACATTTGTAAAAAAAACACTAACGAAGTACATTTTTTGTTCAAATTTGACCTTGTGTAACCGGTAATTACCGGTAAAAAATAAGTAAAGGAAAAAAAACAAGAGGAAATGACTCAAAGAGGTAACTATGTTTCAAAATCGTTCAAAAAACACCAAGTTTGGTATGTTCAAAAAACACCATCCAAGTAAACTTTTTGTATAAAAAACACCAAACAAACTATATGTTTTGTTCAAATATTACCCACCGGTAACTGGCTCTTACAAGTTAAATGATGACTTGGCTTAACTATTATGACATGGCGTAATATTTATTGACAAAATAATAAATGATATATTCCTCCTTTAAAAATCGATTTAGGGTTTCTTAATGAACGAATGACTTCATCTTCTCCTATGATTGCTCTTCTTCTTCTAAAGTGATGATCTTAAACTCAAGTCCAAAACCCTAATACTTGACTTAAGGCAAAAAAGGGCTCTTTTACCCATGCCTCAATGGGCCTCCCTCCACCTAATGCCCAAATCCATAAAAAGCCCAAAAACATCCAAGCCCAACTACAAGGCCTCTAAGGCCCAAGAACCCCAAACATGGCCTCAATGGGCCCAAGGCCTAAGTTAAACAAGTCTATGCATACGCCCAACATGGCAAAAAGGGCTCCTTTACCCTTGCCTCAATGGGCCCGAAATGACGAAATCTAATTTAGCATTAAGATAACACTAAAAATCACAATTTGAAGGCCATAACCCTTGGTGTGGCTGTTGATGCCTAAATTAGCTCCCGTGGATATAAAGAATGACGAAACCGGACTTAGAATGAAGAAGTTATGGCCTTCGGAAGATTGGCGGTTATCGACACTAGCTGAGTACACTGGGCGTACGCTAGGAGTATGTCGGGCGGTATTGGCTTGAAATTTGGATCGCAAAGGCTTCAGCATATGTTGGGCGTATGCATGGACTTGTTTAAGTTAGGCCTTGGGCCCACCTGATTGTAGCAGGTCATTTTTTATGCTTAAGGCCATGTTGGGGGTTCTTGGGCCTTAGAGGCCTTGTAGTTGGACTTGGATGCCTTTTTGGGCTTTTTATGGATTTGGGCCTTAGGGGGGGGGGGAGGCCCATTGAGGCAGGGGTAAAGGAGCCTTTTTTGCCTTAAGTCAAGAATTAGGGTTTTGGACTTGAGTTCGAGATCATCACTTTAGAAGAAGAAGAGCAATCATAGGAGAAGATGAAGTCATTTGTTCATGAAGAAACCCTAAATCGACTTTTAAAGGAGGAATATCATTTATTGTTTTGTCAATAATTATTATGCCATGTTATAATAGTTAATCCAAGTCATCATTTGACCTATAAGAGTCAGTTATCAATGGGTAATATTTGAACAAAACATATAGTTTATTAGTGTTTTGTGTACAAAAAGTTTACTTGGATGGTATTTTTTGAACATACCAAACTTGGATGGTCTTTTTTGAACGATTTTGAAACATAGTTACCCATTTGAGTCATTTCCTATTGTTTTTGTTACTTTACTTATTTTTTACCGGTAATTGTCGGTTACCACAATGTCAAATTGAACAAAGAATGTACTTTGTTGGTGTTTTTTGTACAAATGCTTTACTTTGATAGTGTTTTTTGGACACATTAAACTTGAATGATATTTTTTGAATGAATTTGAAACATAGTTACCAATATAAGTCAATTTCCCAATTTAAAAGAAAAATAAAATAAAAAGAAAATATTAAAATATATGAGTAGAAATATTATAATTTATTGATTATTTTGTAATTAATGTAATTTGTTAGAACAAAGTTCTATCAGGATCGATTAGTTCTAAGTACGCAAACAAGAATGAACGTAAAGTGAAAGAGAATATAGCTTGAATATGTCGTATGATTAAAGCTTCAATACCTCAGAAGAGCTCGATTAAGGACTTCGACTATAGAGGTAGTTAGGGTTACAAGCTCAATCGTAAATAATAAGACGTGTTAATATAATGCATACATGCATGCATATATATATATATAGACTAACCCTAAAGAGATAATCACGGATGGACAGGCCCAATCCGAATATATACAAAAAGTCCTAAGACGCAACATTATAAGCCCAACAATCTCCCCCTTTGCGTCTTCGGAGCCTAAACTTCAATTCTTAGGAACCGAGGGCTTTTTCACCATCTTGAACACTCTCAGTATGATAGCTAACACATGGTACCGAAAGGTGATGTACCACCAAAGCATATCAATAAAATTCTTCTTATCAGCATCCGAGTTTTGCTTGCACCGATGTATCAGATTGATGATGTGCTCCAAGCAGTCAGTAGAAAACAAATGTTTATCTACCAAAGCGAACAAGAACCTGTGAGCTTCACCCTTAGTAAACATGACCGTCAAATGAGTTGAGTCAATCTGCCCGATCTTCATCTTATTAACATTACCGGGCTTTTGGGTCGCTTTGAATGTCGGCTTTTTATTCATAACTCTTGCAATCTCCTGATCCATTGTAGCAATTTCGTGTATATAGGATCCCAACATTCTCTTTAGATGTTCTATAATCGGTTCATACTCCTTGGAGTGATCAAGCAGAATGTTGATAAGCAAAATCCAATCGTGTGGATTAAGATTGGGAAGATCAGCAAGCGATATCATTGATATAGAGTTTGCAGTCCCTCGTGGTATTTTGAAATGGATATTAACAAACTTGCTAGCTGGAGTCGGCTTCAAAACTTTGACACTTGTAATCTTTTGAGCACTCCATGTTCGGTACCGAGGTTGACCATTTTTCAAATACCAATCAATAAGCTCTTGGCCAACCTTTGGACTTCGAAACGGAACCTCAACAGTTGAATCGAAACAATGAAAAGTAAATGACTTTCATGTAATCGGCATGTCAAACTGTGAGTTCTTGGAATTATCACAGTCAAATGAGGTAATCGGCTCTAACTAGTAAAATCTTGGTGACTCAATAGCCTGACTGATCAACACTTCCCTAGTCCATTCAGGAAAAAGAGCTTTTTTACATTGTAAGATGTCTTCTGCTTCTTTATTTCTTCGTTCGGTTTCCTCAGCCTCTTTAGAGATCTTCAAATTTTCATCTAACTCTTTATCTCTTTTCTTTCTTTGCAGAGCCTCGACTATAGTCTCATCAGTATCACTATCACTATCACTATCAAGACCAATCTGTTTCATCTTTTCTTTCAGGCCAGAACCTGAAGCTACATTAACCTTCAGTTCTTTTGTGATAACGGCCTTCGATTCCTCTCCCCCTTGTTTTGGAGTGATGAAAGGCTCTGAAACACCTTTCATTTCGTGTAGAATTGCAAGGACGGGAAGCAGTTTTGTTGTAAGATGATTGCGAATAGAAAGAATTAGAATGGGATCATGAGCACAAAGAATATTGGTCAACATGTCCTTCACATCATTTGCACAGCTTCGAAAGATAGCTATTTCGGTTTTTAATAGAGAAATCTCCTTCTCTGCCTGTGTAAGCTGGACTTGCTGAACAACAATTGTAGAAGCTTGTTTAGCAATTTCTTCTTTCAGTACACTCTCCTTGGTAAGGTCAGCATGCATAGAGTCCAGTTTGGAAGAAATCGAACTTATGAGAGTGGCATTATCAGCTTTCAGAGAAGAACGAACATCTTCAAATTTTGTATGTTCTTCCTGTAAAGTGTGAGAAAGAGAATCAACCGAAGCCCAAACTTTAGCTGCATTTGTATCTGCATGCCTTTTCAAAGAATCCAGAAAGATATGAGTTATGCGAACAACTTCAGCAACAATAGTAGCTTTCTTGCACAGAGAAGTTGATTCGTTAACAGCATCAGTGGATTTATCCATTGTTTTTGTATATTGCTCTATGGCGGTTTCCACAAAGGCTTTTAGAACGACTCCGCCATAAGCTTTCGTATCGGCTAGCAACTTGTCCAGCTTCTCATGAATACTATCCAAGTGTTGTCGGTTGATTGGAGCTTCAGTATCTTCATCCGATTGCAAACGATAGGGACTAAAGTATGTGGAATCATACTCATCATTGTCACTGCCGAGTGTAGCGCTTGATTTGGTTGATTTGGTTGGTGAGGGAGGTAGAGTATGGATAGGAGTTTCAAAATACAGTAGGTGCCCCCGTATCAGATGCGTTGACCCCTGTTGTTGCATCAGAGATGGTAGTAGTAATGGTGATTGAGGTAATGATTGGAGTAGTGAAAGGTGTGATGGAAATAGAAACCGAAGATACAGGTGGTGGTGGTAAAGAGGTTTCGGTTACGGTAGATGAAACAACCGAAACTAATACTTCTGTGTCGGTGTGGAAGTTGGCTATTTTGGTGGTGTTTGTTTTGGTGAAGGGGTGGAGTTGGAATTTTAACTTCTTTTGGTTTCGGAGGGGATTGTTTTGGTGATTGAGGTGGAGTTGGAATCTTAACATCTGGAATTGGAGAAGAAGAACGAGGTGGAGTATTACCTCTTGGAGACTCATGTGGAGTTGGAATCGTGTCTTCTTGATCATCCTCGTTGTTAGATGGTAAAGGAGATGGACCCTTAGGTTTTCGGGCCATGCGCTTGATCTTCTTTGGCTTTGAAGAACTTTCGGTTTCGGTCTTTCTTTTCTTTCTTTTTGAAGGCTTAGAAGTTTGAGCCTCGGTTGTCTCTTTCTTGACAGTTACTCGTTTGCCTCTGCCACTCGGTTTATCAAGAGCGTCGAGAGCAGCTTGTTGTTCTGGTGTAAGTACTCTCAGCTCTGTGGAATGCAACTTGTTGTAGTCCGCCATTACTTTGCTATGCTGAGTAACACTTCTGTACATTGTCTCCGGTATTGAACCATAATGAAGAAATTTGACCGGGTCTGAGATGATGATCTTCTTGGTATGGAAGGTGGAAATTGTCGCAAGGAGAACATCCTTCATCAACGGAATCTCCAAAGTATCAATAGCCCTTTGCGTGATGATATTCCAGAACCTCCCACAAGAAATCTCAGATTGACGTGTAGATATGTTCAGACTCTGCACGACCTAAGACCATATGATGGATCCGTAATCCAGATTCAAACCATGGTACAATCCGTAAAGAATAGTCAAAAACCCCTTGCTTGTGCCATCAGATCCAACACTCCTTTCCGCCAAGCCCTTAATCAACAAAGTAAGAAGACCATTCCACTGAGAGGATAAGCATGACTTCTTGACTTTGGCAATAGTGGTCAAGACATCAGTGTAGTCCATCTCATACATCATTGAAAATAGTTTTGCAGTGGTGATGAAATTAATCAATACATCAATAATACATTACTACCAAATCTATACTATCATATAACACCATTTCACACTTACTAGCAGGAATGTAATAGGACGAGTGTAGTAGCTTGATTTGTCATCCGTTTTCCATAGTTTTTCCTTGATCACAAATAGTCGAGCATATATTTGCACCAATTTAACTTTGAAAAGTCTTGTACCGACACCAACTTCCTTACCACTTTTATTTGATTTGTTCCCATCAACATTGACTCTATGAAGTTGTTAACGAACATAGTCAAAAAATTCAGCCTAAACATCAAATTATCTTTTGATGTAGAATGAATTCTTCTTAAATACTCCTCACCATTGAACTTATCACAAGGATATTGTCCCCTCCCAAACTGATTTCCAAGCGTTGAATCTCTAATAAATTAGCACCGATAATATGCCCAATAAAAGGAAGTCTTTTATCTAACTTTATAGAATACTTCATGTTATACACGTACATTAACTACAAAAAAAGCCATTAAATTAATCAATACATCAATAATACATTACTACCAAATCTATGCTATCATATAACACCATTTCACACTTATTAGCAGGAGTGTAATAGGACGAGTGTAGTAGCTTGATTTGTCATCCCTTTTCCATAGTTTTTTCCTTGATTCCAAACAGTCGAGCATATATTTGCGCCAATTTAACTTTGAAAAGTCTTGTACCAACACCAACTTCCTTACTACTTTTATTTAATTTGTTCCCATCAACATTGACTCTATGAAGTTGTTAACGAAAAGAGTCAAAAAATTCATCCTACACATCAAACTATCTTTTGATGTAGACTGAATTCTTCTTAAATACTCCTCACCATTGAACTTATCACAAGGATATTGTCCCCTCCCAAACTAATTTCCAAGCGTTGAATCTCTAATAAATTAGCACCGGTAATATGCCCAATAAAAGGAAGCCTTTTATCTAGCTTTATAGAATACTTCATGTTATAAACGTACATCAACTACAAAAAAACATTAAATTAATCAATACATCAATAATACATTACTACCAAATCTATAATATCATATAACACCATTTCACACTTACTAGCAGGAGTGTAATAGGACCAGTGTAGTAGCTTGATTTGTCATCCCTTTTCCATAGTTTTTTCCTTGATCCCAAACAGTCGAGCATATATTTGCACCAATTTAACTTTGAAAAGTCTTGTACCAACACCAACTTCCTTACCACTTTTATTTGATTTGTTCCCATCAACATTGACTCTATGAAGTTGTAAACGAAAAGAGTCAAAAAATTCAACCTAAACATCAAACTATCTTTTGATGTAGATTGAATTCTTCTTAAATACTCCTCACCATTGAACTTATCACAAGGATATTGTCCCCTCCATTATTCCAGAATTTGATTCCCCTTATTACACAATGACAACTCATTAATGTCTTCTCCTCCAATTAGCAACCCCATCATATCATGGATTGTCTGTTCTATGATCTCAATAATAGAATTTTGTAGGACAAGTCTTCTACTATCAGAATCATACGCATCTAAAAGATAGTAACTTAGTTACCCCAGATAACTTGTTATATTCACTTGCAGAATCGACCCAAAACCCATTCTTAAGATTGCTTGTTTTTGTTCTGGTGACATGCCCCTAACCATTGCAGTGATGTTATCACATTTCATTCTGGTTGGAAGGTTTCTTAAACCATGTGGATATTCCTTACTTGTTTTTCTAACATTATCTTATTGTTCCTCTTTGACAAATTCATCAATTCCACTGTTCTTTAAATTTTTTACAATTTGAACTCTCTCATATTTTCTCTTTGACCTTATCCCTCTTTCCAAAAGTAGTACATTTAAAGGTTTAGGACATTTCTTTTCTGGAACTGATTTATCAAATTTTTTCTTTGACCTTCTTTCTCGTTTCATGTGTTCTTCTTCTTTTTGTACTTGTTCTGCTATAACACATAATAAATATTAGAATGTACATTATAATATATTAAACACTTGAGTAAAACACATTATGTAACATCCCGAGTCCAGGAGTGCAAGTTCGGGGTACAAAGTGTAAATTTGAAGGGCAACTCGGCGAGTAGGGTCGCGACTCAGGTCGCGTGTTAAGTGGCCAACTCGGCGAGTCCAAGGCTGGACTCGACGAGTAGGCGCTGTGTGAAGAAAACCCTAAATTCGGGGGATGAGCCTTATATAAAGGACATTATACCCTCTCCCCAACCTCTTTGATCTCCCTTGAAGTCCAGAAACCCTAGATACGCGTTTGTGAAGGTTTTGAGTGCATTTGAGCCTTGGAGAAGAAAGTTAGAAGAAGATCTTGGAGAGTTAGGAGGCTTGGAGCAAGGGGCTTTGCTTAGATCAGATTCCTTGCTGTTGGGGGTTTCATTTTGAGGTAATATCTCGTTCTTGGGCTGTGTTCTTCTAGATTCATCATTTTTGGGTTGTGTGGGAAGCTTAGATTGTGGTATCTTGAGTTTGAAGGATAGATCTGAGGTTGCTACCTCAGATCTGAAGTGGGGGAGGTTTAGAGTGCATTAAAGTCCTTATTATTGAGTGATTGGTGAAGCCATCTTGTCCCAAACCCTAGCCCTAGAGTGTAAATGCCTAGATCTCTTTGGATTCACGTAAACTTTGCCACTTTACGTGATGGAAGGGTTGTAGAAGGGTAGATCTACGTTTTGGATCGATTGCATGGCCTGGAAGGCTTCTGTATGGGTTAAGAACTAGTGGTACTCGGCGAGTCACAAAGGTGTACTTGGCGAGTCGCTTGAAGATGGACTGGAACTTGGCGAGGTGGAAGAACAACTCGGCGAGTAGGTTAAAGATAGCCTTGGACTCGACGAGTCTGTTCTTGGACTCAGCAAGTCTGGTCGTGAGGTCCTAATATTCTTCTGGTTGAGTCATGAATCGGCGAGTCTCGGGGTGAATCGGCGAGTTGAGTCGCGGATTGGGGAAGTTCTAAGCATGGGGACTCGACGAGTCATTGGGTTGACTCGGCGAGTAAAGTCAGTCAGGAGGTTGACTTTGACTTTGACTTTGACCAAGGGTTGACAAGTTGACTTCCAGGGGTAATTTGGTAATTATTGGTATTTATTGAATTCAGTTTTTTGGGTATTAACAGTGGTGGAGTTCGGGTCGGAGGTTGCAACAGCGTGATCTTATCCTTTTCAGTCAGCAGTTGCGAGGTGAGTTATCCTCACTATATCAACAGGGTCTAAGGCACCAAGGCCGACCCTTTATCGGATTGTAATCCGGGTATTGTTGTTATGTTGTTGTTTTACTATGTTTGCATCCTGGTAGTTAGGATGGTATTCGTTAGAGACCTGGTTAAGGTCGGTATCCTAGTATATAGGATGATGCTATGCTAGCGACCGGTTAGGTCGGTATCCTGCTTAGAGTATGTTGTGTTACGTGATCAGCTAGATCGGTTTGATTGAATATGAATTGTTATATGATTGTATGTTTATGTGCACATGGTTGTTTGACTGGGGTTGGGTTAAGGCGAGACCTGCTTTGTGCTGTAGGCCAACATACCCAGGGCGGACCGGTTATTCCGAAGGCCCAACGAGCGGTCCGGATAGGCTGTAGGCCCCACGAGGGCGGACTAGACGTGTCGAGGCTCGGAGAGTGGACCAGGCCGACTGAAGGCCCGATGCGGTTGGACCAGTCATACTATAGACTCAGAGAGTGGACCAGGTGGGTTGAAGGCCCGGTGCGGGCGGACCAACCACACTGCAGACTCGAGGGACATGACTGAACTCGGAGGGTGGACCAGGTGGACTGAAGGCCCGACACGACGAACCAGTCACACAGTAGACCTGATATGCATGGTTGTTCTGTGATTCGATATGATATAGCATGTTATGTGTGTGGTATATGTGGTTGGTATTTTGGGGGTATCTCACTAAGCTTTCGGGCCTACAGTTGTGGTTTAATGTTTTTCAGGTTCTTCAGGAGACCGTGGCAAGACAAAGGCGTGATCGTACCGCTCCTCGAGTTTGTGTTTTATGATATGGTTCTGGGAATACTCTGATAATAAATGTATTGAAAACTTTTTTGTAATAACATTATTAAAATGAGTTGTTTTTGAAAAGTTTAAATTGGTTTAAATTTTTAGAGTGTTACACATCACGTTAATTGATGTTTAAAAATATAAGATATTTTTATTATTCTAACAGAATAAAGTTTTACTTTTACAACACAAATATAACATACACAAAATTACCATTATAACAGGATAAAAAAAAGACAAAATAATCAATAACACACATAAATACAATTCTAACAAAATATAAAAGAAACTATCATATCATCATGCATGTCATTTCGATACATAATCCACTGCACATTGAAATACTTATATTCAAACATATATTCGTATTATATTAGAATATATTACATATAAATTCTATCAACCTACAAAAATTGTAAAATTTTCAATTTACCCCATAATTATATCTTAATAAAAACTTAATAACAAAGAGTAAACATACTACACACATTGGTTCAATGATAACAGTATAAAAAAGAAATTCACAAATTTAAATTCTATCAGAATCTTACACATTGCAACTCAACACATATAATCCACTCGACATTGAAATACTTATACCCATACACATATTTGTATTCTATTAGAATATATTACATATGAAGTCTATCAATCTACAAAAAATTGTAAATTTTCCAAGTTACCCCATAATTCTAACTTAATAACAAACAGTAAACATACTACACACATTGGTTCAATGATAACAATATCAAAAAGAAATTCACAAATTCGAATTCTACCAGAATCTCACACATTTCAACTAAAGAGATATAATCCACTATCCATGGGTATACGTACACTCATAAAAATCGTTCCATTCTAATAGAATTCAACACATGTAAAGTATATCCCATCTGTAAGAATTTTTGAATGTTTTAGTTTAAGTTATTACTCATATACAAACTTCAATTCCAATAGAATCTAAAATCATTATACCCTGCTACTTACCTCCTTATTTACATAAATTTTGTTTATAATTGTATCTCATACAAGAACATGATTTATTTTAAGAGAACAACAAACATCTACATGTTTATAAAAATTGACCATTCTAGCATAACAACACCTAAAACTATTTCATTCTACCAGAAATTACACAACAATCACACATTCTTTTTGCAAAACACAAATCATACATGCATAAATTATCCTAAATATACTTCTTACACTATAATACATCTTCGAAATCAATAAACATTAGATAAAACAAAAAAATTCTTACCTTCAGGTTCCGCAACGAAATCATCACCGCCATCTTCAAGATTCAATGTCGTCTTTACTGTGTTCTTGAACTTCGACTTGAATGAAGTCGAACGTGTACTCTTCATTCTTCCAGAATAACGTTCACAGAAGCCCCTAAACGTCGATTCCATCTTCTCAGGTTTAATGTCGATATTTATATCAAAATCCTTCCATGAATCTTCCGATTCTAAATATTGAATACATAAAATCAGAATATGTGTCAATCTCCGAAAGCATTGGGTGTTTGACTTTGATAGTATGCGAGATATTTGGGATTATCGGTGGATCAATTCCATAATTATCGACGATTTCCTATTAAACTGACGAGACAAAGTACCATAGTACCCTTCCGTGCCCACTCAATTAATAAAATCCTATTAATTTTTTTTTCTGTTTAATATCAAAAGAAAACTACTTTCTTGATTTACCACAAGTGATTGGCCTATAATCCATAACACAAACACATAATACTTAGCAAAAACAATATAACCTAACACACACACATACACACACACACACATATATATATATATGTATATATATATATATATATGTATGTATATATATCTATAGGGTTAGGTTATTTTGTTTTTACTAAGTATTGTGTGCCAGAATGCACAGATATGGATCAACGGATGAAATTAATCAATGGACATGATTTGAGAGTGTATGATATTACAATGGGGTAATATGTACCATATAATCACACAATTTTTAGCAAAAGGGTATTTTGGACAATTAACTACATTTATAAAAGGAAATTTTCGAATTTTTATGGATGATTAATTCTCCTAATTTTAAAAAATCTGAATTTTTTAATTAATTAAATTTCAATTTTTACCGATTTTATTCTATCAAAATATTTTTTGTTAGAATGATACTCTTTCAGAATTTTATTTTAATAGAATATTATTGAAGAAAAACAAAATTCTTGAATAAGATGTTGAAAAATAACAAACATTCTAATATATTCTTATACATCCGAACTTAAATACAAATTCATACATATTCTTACAGACTAAAAGTCTTATACATTTTAAATATAGTTATAAATATTCTGAAAGAATATCAACAAAAATGAATAACATTCTTAAAAAATAACAACATTATGCTAGAATACTCTCGTTCTCCGTGTTTTCTTCTTGAATTCTTGAATTCTGAAAGAATATTGTTGTTTTTGGATGTTGAATCCTGAAATTCTGAAAGAATATTGTTGTTTTTCTTCATTCTTTGAGAATGAAGTATCACATATCTTTTTTTCATAAGTTACCTCATCATTCCTGCATCATCCTAACATACATTAAATTCCAACATAATATCTGAATCATGAATATTTGAAAGAAACACATGTTCCTGCTTACATTACCACAAAAAAAAAAAATACACACCAACTTATAGCTTTTGTTTTCTTCTTATTATCTACAAAACTCAAAAGTTTTTAGTTTTTTTATATAATTTTACTCAATTCAAATGGTTTAGAAAAACAAAACAACTAAAGCGTGGTTGAAAATTGGAATCGATTCAGATATTCTGTTGGAATTTAATGTATTCAGATATTATCTGATCAAATCTCAGATAATAGAATATTGTAATCAATAAAGAAAATAAGATACCTAATTGAGTTTTAAATTAACTTTTATTCTGTTTCAACATATGTTTCCTTTTGATTGACAGTCAATGAATCACCAAAGAAGCAACATCTAGTTCCGGTGATGGGGATGGTAGCCAAATGAACCAAGAACACCGCAAACCCAATTGGAAGAGGAGCCAAAATCTACAATAAACACATTCAAATTTAATTCAAGATAAAAATCTCACCTTTTCTAAAGTGAATATTTGTATATAATTCAATAGTCAATGGAGTGAGTTGCATACAGGGACATGGGAGTCTCTGGCGCTTCTTTTAGCATCCGTTACAGAGAACACATTGTAAACAAGCACGAAAGTGCCAACAATCTCAACACCAGGACCATCACCCTTGGTGTAACCATGGGCGACGACATTAGCACCACCGCCTAACGTCGTGTACTGCGCATCACCCCGAACCCTTTCACAACTCCGACACCACAGATTGCTCCAAGACACTGCATCACCATGTAGAACACTGCCTTGGTTAACGACATTTTTCTTGCTAATAGCAAACCGAATGTCATAGCTGGATTAATATGCCCTCCTGTTTGAAGATGAAACGTAGTTTTTAGACGATTTGAAGAAGAAAGAAGATAAAATTAGGGTTCCGGTGGAAAGTGGAAACATACCTGACATACCGGCGGTGCAGTAGACAAGAGCGAAGATCATACCATTGAAATCCCACGCGATTCCTTGAATACCCACTGCGCCACATTTCGTCGGAGATTTGACCACACCCATTACAGTCAACACCGAGATGTAGAGCAACAAGAAGGTGGCGATGAACTCTACGATACCGACTCTGTAAAACGACCATGACAACAACTCGTATGGCTCGAAAAACGGCGCCAGTGGTGGCTCCTTGTAGTCTTCATCCTCTTCTCTTCTGATCGCACAGCCCCTCCCCTCCAGATTTCTCTTTCTCGGACAATATCAAAAAGAGAACCAATGCAACACGTCCTCACACAATGGACTTGGACGACTAGGGTTAGTTTAGGGCCTTTTATGGTAACTGTTCCATTAATTAAGGAGATTTCTATCTATATAAGAGAATTATTTTTGGTTTAATAAATTAAGGTGATGTAAAGTTACAAAATTACCCTTATATTATTTTTTAATAATTTTATTATTCCTAAATTCCTATTGGTGCATTTATGCACACAATAGTAAACCTAACTATCTCTCTATCTCTCTCTCTCTCTCTCTCTATATATATATATATATATATATATATATATATGGGTAAAGTGAATATACCTAACAACCTTATATAAGCTTAGGTACCTAACCACATTATACTACATTGTTTTGCATTATATATCCATTGCAATCGTCTAAGGTTCTTAAAGTTTAACCCTTAACTTGATTTACTTCCAAGATTTTAAGATAGTCACCATTATATTCTTCCTACACCATTTGATTTGTAATGGTAGTATATGAAGCCCACCAGGGGGTCTCCGATAGAAAGACGTCATTTGAAGGATGATAATGGTGAAAGTCCAAAATTTTTGGAAGCAATCAAGTTATGAGTATGAATTTTAAGAACTTTGGGTAATTACAATGCAAATATGATACACAATTACGTAGTGGCGAGTCTACATGTATCTAAAGGGTGTCCTGGGACACCCCTTAGTTCAAAATTTTATTTACTAGATATAGCATAATTTTTCTGGGACACCTGTTGACAAAACAAATTGGACACCCTTGATAGTAACAAAGAAAAAAAATAAACGATATTTGTCAATCATAATCTATTTTCAATCTTTACAACTTTTAAAAAACTTAAGAGCAAAAAAATAGGGATTGATTAAGCAACAAAATATTTTACGAAAATATAATAACAGATATTCTTTCAAACCCAAAACTAATCTAATTTAAATGTAGAAAAATATAGAAATAGAAAAACAAAAAAAACCTAAAAAAAATTACGATTTTGTGGATTATCCGCTGTCAAAGTTCTTCGTCTTTCTCAACTTTGGAGTGCCACCGACCGCCGACTTCTTTAGTGTTGCCGATAATCACGTTTTGGTCGCCTCTGTTCTTTAGTGGCCGCAAACTATCTTGAACAGTTCTTGGTGTCAAAGGTTTGGACTTCTGATCGTCTTTAAAATCATTATCTCCGGTTGCATCCATACGATCTCCGTCGCCGGCCAATTAACGAAAAGGACGGAATTGAAGAACCTGCAGCCGTCGACTTCTTCTCAGCAATCCATTTACTTTTGGGTAAACCCTTTACTCTTTTATATCTCGTTTTATTTAGAATTGATATATGGTGTAGAAACTAGAAACAATAAAGTGGGTATAGGTCATTGTATATATGAGAAGTCATTGTCTATGCCTCTATGGAAAAGTTATAGTCTGTTCACCTGCTCTTGCTTTACCTGCTCTTGCTTTTGTTATTGTGTATGTCAGGCAAATTGTCTTTATTTGTTTAATAAAGAATTAGACCAATAGGCTAGGCATATCAAATTACTTTTACATATTTCATTTATATAGTTTGTTTTATTTATATAACTTTTACATATTTCATATGTAGCGGTTGTTTTGTTTAATTATTTATATGAGTAAATATTTATTTTATCATTTTAGGCATAATGTTGATGTTGTATAAAAAAGATGAAAGAAGGTCATTTACATAAGATATATTTATATAGCTTATTTCATTTCTATAACATGTTCTCTAATATATTTTCATTAGATCTATATATTTATTTGTAGCAGTTGTAATTATTATTTATTTAGATGAGTAATTATTTATTTTATCATTTTAGGCATAATGTTTAGGTATTATAAAAAAAAGGGTGAAACAAGCTCTTTATCTCATGATCATGGCAATTCACAACAAAACGATGAACATCAAACACCTTCTTCAAAATATATGAAAGTTGATTTAAACACACTTCCTGCGGATCCCGGAGAAAGGCCAAGCATGGAAATTTATCATGTAAATCAACGAGATGAGATTAGAAGATCCTACTTACAAAAAGGGCCTTATCAACCGCGAACTCATTCTTTCCAACAAAGAGAGATTGGAGGAAAACTTCGTAGATTTGTTCCCTCTTGGTTTGATGATCACAAATACTGGCTAGAGTACAGTATTAAACTTGAAGCCGCATTTTGTTTATGTTGTTATCTATTTAAATCTGAGATTAAAAACCAAGGTGGTTCAGATCATTTTGTAAAAAATGGATTTAATACTTGGAACAAGAGAACGAGTCTAAATCATCACGAAGATGGAAGTCCACATAATATGGCAATCCAAAAGTGTCAAAATCTGATGAACCAAAGACAATCCATAGCTATTGCTTTTGATAAGCAAACTGATTTGATGAAGACCAACCAACGCATCAGATTAAATGCTTCTATAGATTGTATTAGATTCTTACTGCGACAAGGGTTAGCTTTTCGGGGTCATGATGAAAGTGAAGACTCAACTAATAGAGGCAACTTTCTTGAACTTCTTCAGTTCTATGCTGATCGAAATGATAAAGTGGGTGGTGTTGTTTTAAAGAATGCTCCTAAAAATTCACAAATGACATGTAGTTCAATTCAAAGGGATATTGTACATGCTGCAGCAAAAGAAACTATTAAGACTATTGTGAAAGGTATTGGGGATGAATTCTTTGCCATTTTAGTAGACGAATCACGTGACGTGTCTTGTAAAGAGCAAATGACATTGGTTTTGCGGTTTGTGAATAGCCAAGGGGTTATTGTGGAGAGCTTTATTGGCATAAAGCATGTTAGTGACACTTCAGCTTTGTCATTGAAGGCAACTATTTATTCATTTCTGACAGAATGTGGATTAAGTCCACATAGGATCCGAGGACAAGGTTATGATGGAGCTAGTAATATGAGTGGTGCATTTAATGGATTGAAGACACTTATTATGAAAGAAGTGAAATCTGCACATTTTATTCATTGTTTTGCTCACCAGTTACAATTAGCACTTGTATTTGTTGCAAAGAATCACCCTGACATCAATGACTTTTTTGATTTGACTTCTCGTTTGTTAAACATGATTGGTTCTTCTTATAAACGTCGAGACAAATTAAGAGAGAAACAAGCAACAAAAGTGGTGGAAGCATTGGCCACAGGTTTCTTTTATTTTATTTTCTTATAATTTTATGGTGGTTTATATATATATTTTTGCTAATTTATTTTTTATGTTAATTTTAGGTGACATTCAAAGTGGTACAGGTTTGAATCAAGAAGTTGGTATCAAACGACCATGTGATACTCGTTGGAGTTCTCATTTTGGTTCACTCTTAAATATCAAGAAAACGTATTCTTCAATTTGTGAAGTACTTGAAGACATTAAAGTGGATAGTTATTGTCAAGATCATAGAGCAGAAGCACGTCGTCTCTTGAAGTCATTACAAACGTTTGATTTTATTTTTTGCTTACACTTGATGGTTGATATCTTAGGGGTCACAAATGATTTGAACATCACGTTGCAAAAAAAAGATCAAGATATTGTAAATGCAATGCATCAAGTGAGATCCTCTAAGACCAGACTTAAACAAATGCGAGATGAAGGATGGGAACCACTCTTAAATGATGTTACTTTGTTTTGCGAAAAATGTGATATTGAAATTTTGAATATGGAAGATCCATATTACAATGGAACAAGTCGTCGTAAAGGTTCACAGGTTAGCAACTATAAAGTTGATCTATTTCTTCAATTTTCTAAATTAATCATTAACCCGTTGTTCTATTTAATTCGCAGATTAACCACTTACATCACTATAAAATTGATGTATTTATTGGGGTCATAGATATGCAATCTCAAGAGCTCAACTATCGATTTAATGAAGTAAACACATCATTACTTGTTTCTATGGCTTCTTTTTGTCCAAGTAAGTCTTTTCAAGCATTTAATGTGGAAGAACTACTTCAGATGGCAACCTTTTATCCAAACGAGTTCCCAGAACATGACATTGGAACACTTAGAGCAAGTCTTCAAAATTATATTGTGGATGTACGTGGAGATGCAAGGTTTAATAACTTGAAGGGAATTGGAAACTTGGCAAAAATGATGGTTGAAACGAACAAACATACGATATATCCAATGGTGTATCTTCTACTAAAATTAGCATTGATATTGCCCGTTGCAACATCCACAGTGGAACGTGCTTTTTCTGCAATGAAGTTGATAAAGAACGATTTGCGTAATAAAATGGGTGATCAATTTATGAATGATTGTCTAGTTTCTTATATTGAGAAAGATGTGTTAGATGGTATTAGCAACGACATACTTATAGATTTTTTTAGGGATATGAAAACTCGTCGTGAACAATTGTAAGAAATTTATGATTTTTTTTAATTAGTTTGATCTTTGGTATTCAAGTTAATAAATATTTTCCTAAGATGGTATTACCGACAAACCGACCCGATAACCATTTTTTTGACCCATTTATTTTATCATTTCATTTATGGGACACACGTTAGTTTGAATCCTAGATTCGCCACTGCAATTACGTAGTATGATGGGGTTAGATATCTAAGCTTATATAAGATTGTTAGGTATATTCACTTTACCCTATATATATATATATATATATATATATATATATATATATATATATATATATATATATATATATATATATATATATACTAGCAGTGTACCCGCGCAAAGCGGCGGGGTGTGTAAATTCTTTCGGTGATATGTTTCCTCTACAAAAATGTTATGTTACAAAAGAAAGTACATGTCGAAGACAAAATAATCAAACTATGGTGTTATTTGGGAGATAAAGTTATTTTTTGTTCCTGGACGGTGGGGTTTATAGCAGAGGAGGGAACAAAGAGGTATATGCGATTGCAGGGATATTTGAATCAACATGCTAAATTTAAGGATATCTAAAAGGGTTCAAAATTTGAATGAATCCGGGATTTGAGGGAACCATATCAAATTGCTGAGAAATATAAGGAGATTTGATGATAAATATTTGAATTCAAATTGTGGTTAAAATTTAATATTATTTTATTAATGGTTACTTGTACTATCAGCTTCATCATTTGGACGTCTTAAAAAAATATTATTATTATAATCAATCTATTTTTAAAAATAGTTAGATTTCTTTTATAAGATAGTAAATATATATATATATATATATATATATATATATATATATATATATATATATATATATATATATATATATATATATATATATATATATATATATATATATATATATATATGGATTATTATTATTATTATTATTTTTTTTTTTTGGCGTTGATAACTAGGTTCTTTTAGGACCAAAAAGACCGGGTCACCTATGAGATAAGATGGAATTTATACTAAAACTAATACTCCACCGGCATCACATGACTACGATAGACTACTTGTAGAAATCGTTCAAGTTGTCGCTGCTTTGATGATGCATCCAAAAGCAGGCGGTCTCAGTGTGTGATAGATTTGTAGAAATCGTTCAAGTTGTCCATCCATCTTGATAGATTTGCAATGGATCCGAACCCTAAGAAGTTTCCAATTCTGTCTTATGTAATGGCCAAAATCCCCAGTGTCAGCCGGTCTCAGTCACCGGAGTTCGACATTGAACAACCACCGCTGACGGTTCCTTCCACATCCGAACCAGAACCTTACTTCGAACTCACTGAACGCATGCCTCACTTAACTGATCCTGAACTCCTTGCTTCCATGCGTGCAACTGTCGACGATGTATCTCGGACACGATCTGTACTCAAAACCCTAGGCGAGTGTCCCGATCATGAATTTGTTGATATCGCTAGGTCACGGCTGGCGGAGATCGAAGAAAGCTTGGCAAATCAACTTGAAGAGGTCGCTCTGTCCGATAAAGATGCGGTGGAGGTTGACAAGCGGAAGAAGGAGGAAGAGAGGGAGAAACAATCGTTCAAGGCCGTTATCTCGCTGTATGAGATGCATCAATCGTATGAGAAGATGTTGAGTGAGGCGGAAAAGAGGCTTGAGAAGCTTTATGAGGAAGCTAAGAAGGGAGGAAAATCGGTCGCGGTTGATGACCAAGGGTGTTCTAGTGAATTTCCAACTGTCGAGGACGATGTTAAGGATGAAGTTGTTGCCATTTTGAATGATGCGTTAGCAAATGATCTTAAAAGGATCGATCTATCGGAGAGGCGGTTACCGTTTC